AATGGCTTTTGTGGTATATGTATTGATAATCTATGTGCAAAGTCAAGATTTGTGGAGTTAAATGCCACCTAAGGCTGTGATCATTTTAAGTGAATAAAGCTAGAATTTTTTAATTTTCATATGAAATGCAAAATTCTGCTGGTGGATCTTAATGCACAGAGCTGCTGTTGACTCAATGGAAGATCTCACCAGAATACTGGAGTCAGGATTCACTATGTGAATCAAAGGACAGATCTCCTGTTACCTTGAAAGTTGTTCTGTCATTTTTAGTTCAGAGATGACATAATGCCCTATTCTCAAATACTTCTACAATGCAAATATTTTGCAGTTAAAGAAGATACATTAAAGAACAAATAAATATCTGAAGTAGATAATTAAAACTAAATTAATTCACGTTGAGGGATTTCTTAGTCAGCAATACTGTTCCCATCTCATCAAATGAACTGAAGAAAGTCCCCAGACGACAACCCCTCAGTTTGACTTTGCTGTTTCCAGCAGAGTTCCTGAAATGGCTTCTGTAATGCTGCGCAATGTCATTTTAATTGCAATAATAATCAGGATCACATTATGCTTGGATTTCCTCTAGCCATAACAGGTTGTTTATTCACAACAAAGTTTTCTACCAAATCACCTCGGTCTGTCTCTCCTTTTCAAACCTTTCCTCCCACTCTGGCCCTTGAATTGTTGTCTTTTGTTATACTCTTTTTCAGTTATTTTTACAGTTTTCCACTGAAAATAGATTTGGTAAAATGGGCTATAGGAAAGGTCAGGGATCCTTATAACAAGGCCATTGTTTTTTAAAAGCATAGAGTTGTCGGTTTCTGGCAGTGATAAGGGTCTGCATTTATTCAGAGGAGATTTGTGATTTGTGCTTTGCATCGTCTTGAACATAAATGAAAGTACGCTTTTCCTTTGGAACTCATATAGTCTTCATTTACTATCAAATGTTGTTTCAAGACATGGTTCTGTTTATTGATATATTGTCTTATGGAGGTGCCTACTGGCTTGTGTTTTAAAATGGCCTTAAAATGGGGCATAAATTCCTGTTTTTCTCTAAAAGTTGTTAGCTGATTGGTGTGAAATTTCACACAAGGTTAATTTTTAGGCCTTTTGAATTTTTGATGCAGTTTTTGTTTGGTGTTTCTTAACAAATTTGTAATAGAAAGCCTTTGAATTTGAGCTTGTGCGGAATTTTTCCCTTGGCAGGCCTGCTGTTTATCGTTATCAGAAAGTTCTGTACACAATTGTCTGGACAAAACTTGGTAGAGAGGTAGATCCGGGGGACACAGAGAGAGTGTTTTTATTTGTTTTCGTTCTTTTTAACAAATGTGTTTAGCCATTATTTGCATTATGAATAAAAGTTTGTGCACGGTGCATGTAAACTTGATGGATGGAGGCTAGGTGCAAAATAAATAGATTGGGTCAGGATACACAGAAACCTGATTATTGGGACTAGGTGCACTAAAGATTGAATGACGGGGAATGCTGGGTTCAGAGAAGCTGGACTATTGGGGTATGGGGAAGAGCGGGGCATCTCCAAGTGTGACTGGTTGAGGGAGAGGTGGGAGAGCTGCATGCAAACCTATTGGATGAGGACCAGGAGCACATAAAGCCTTCTTTATGAGAAGCTAGACTGTTGTGTCAGAATGTATTCGACAACAGAGAAGGGATCAAATGCTCTCCCACTGTACTTTAAGCACCACATGTCGTGCCCCCCCACTTATCCAATGCCTACCCCTAAATAAGTATTAAATAAATTAAGAGATAAATACACAAAAATCTTCCTTGTGAAGCAGTTAGGGTTGCTACACACAGGACATGCCTCTCACAAACTCATCAAAACAAGGAAATGAAAAGCTAAGCCACCTAATAATATATATCCTCTTCTCCTCCTCCCATAGACACACATCTTACTATTGCCACAACTACCACACACCATACACTACAATTTTAATTCTGCCCATTAGGGTCGCCAGAGTTTTACATCACCCCCTATAATTGCCCTTCTACACATAACCCTTTCCCAAATTAACCTCTGCCAGCACAACAAACTACTGCATCAAACATCCATAACTACTAGCGCCAGGGGAGGAGGAAAATAAATTGGTAAATGAGAACATGCCAAAGGTTGAAAATGGAGCTGAGTTAAGATGGCAGTGTATGTATGATAGGTGGGGTCATACTCAGGTGTACTGTGGGTGAAGGTGTTAGGTGGCTTAGTTTTTCATTTCCGTGTGTTTGTGGGGTTGCGTTAGGGTTGCTATGCACAACATGCATAACCATTTCTCAACCCCAAAGATAACAGAGCCAGATCCTCAGCTTGTGTAGACTGGTGTATCTCTACGGACTACAGTGGATCTAAACTGCTATACCCCAGCTGTGCATCTGGTCCACTGTTCCTAAAGCTATTGAAAAATGTTCCTATTATGAAATGTATTCTTGCTTATAACACCACTGATGTCAATGTCACTTTGCTCAGCTGCAGGGGGATGCACAGGGCAGGATCTAAACTAGTGTTGTAAAGCGTCATATGAATTTACTGTGTTGTGTAAATCATTAGTAATAAAATTCTCTGGAATCTGTTTTTAGTGTGGGATTTAAATTTTAAGAGGGGTTCTTCCACTTCCATTTAAAAAGACTGAAGGAAGTGGAAGTGTGTGTAATGCGGGGGTGTCGCTGCATATAAGCCTTTCTGATGATCACTATACTAAAAAATAAAAAATGTTTTTAATGTGGAGATGGGCTCAAGCTAAAATTAAGATCCAGATCTCAATGTGCAGTGCAAGCACCCCGAATGTTCAGGCAACGTTGGATCTGGGGCTTTGATTGGTTCAAGGAAATCTACATTTCTTTACTTTGGAGAGAGTATTTTAGTGCTTCGTATTTTTCCTTCCACACCCCCTACTTGGGAACGAAGATATGAAAAATACTGCCCATGATGTTTCTTTTTTACCTTCTTTGCTGGCCAGATTCTCTTTTTCCTTCCCTCTGTCCCTGTTTTTGATTCTGTTTCTATTCCCTTGTTACCCATTATGAAACAGACAAGTCTGCAGGACAGGGAAAGCGAACAGAGGTTACAGGGGTAAGTGCTGTGAAAGTGTAAGGAAGATCCAGTTTATGGGCGTTTTGTAGATTTCTTTAAGAGGTCACAAGACTTCTAGTAATGGGAATTGCTGAGGGGGTAGTATCAGACTGGTAGTAACAATAGGAGAGTCAGAATCAGGTCCAAAGAGAGGCCACGATTCAGAGTACTGAATAAGGAAACACAGCTAGGTCCCAGACTATGTATTGGAGTTTGGAAAGGTGAGAAATAAGAGGAAATATGTAAGAAAATAACAGGCTTGAAGAAGGCCATATGGATTATACCTTTTATCCTGTCCTATAATAAAAGGTTAAGAAAATACTTGATAAAATTAAAAGGAAACATTTAAATTGGATAATAGGAAACACTTTTTAAAAAGCCATGTATAATTGATCTGTAGAGTTCACAACCTCTCGATGCTATTTGACGTGAACAGCTTATCAAGATTCAAGAAAAGTCTCTGATAACACATGAATAAGAATAGTAGCTGAAATTTTACTGGTTAGGATAAAAATGACAAGTATTATGCTTCTCAGCATAAATTGTAGTTGAAGAATAAGCTAACGTCAGGAAGAAATTTCTTCCATACTGCAATGTGGTACAGTTAAATGCATTATGGGGGTTCAGTACTTCTGTATGTGGCAAACTGTTTTTGGCTATTGTCAAGGAGAGGATTCTGGGCTAAATAGACAACTGCCCTGGAATGCGAAGACATTTCCTGTACCCTTATGCTTACTACATTGATACAGATGTTTAATGCTGAAGTCTCAGGTTTGCCAGAGGTTATTGACTATTTTAATGAAATAAACTAGATATATGTCAAAATCTACATTCACCCTACATATCTTTCAGCCACCTATGTAAAGTATGTTGCCTGCTGTACAAGGTATAAATATGCGTGAAGGAAATAAGAGATATATCCAGCCCAGATGTTTTTAAAAATGGGTGCCTAAAGTTAGGCTCCTCAATCCATATTTAGGCACATGCGCGCGCGCACATACATACTCACATATGTCATTTGTAAATACAACTTATGGCCCTGACATTGCAGTTGAATTCATGTAATGGGACCCTTGCCTCATACTGAGCCTCAGCAACTTCCATGGGGCTGCGTGCAAGCAAAACCACATTAATCCCATTGCAAGGTTGGGTGACTGTCTATGTTGCTACGTATATATTCATTCCTTCAGTTTTTCTTCTTTCTAGAGAATAATATGCAACAGCTAATATATTTTTTATTAACAAGACATGCATATAAATCAGGTAAACTTTGGTGTTATTTAAAAATAATAGATTTGAAAATAAGAATATGAATTTAGCACATATTCCCAATTTAGAATGTCCCCAAATGCAGTTCTTTGGAAATTGGGCATTATGCCCTCCCTCCTCCCCCTATTCCTGATCTCTCTCACAAAATAATCAGAAAATTTTTAAGGGGGGAAAACTGAAACGCTTATTTTGGCTTTCCCTTCAGTGACATGATTGTGGTTGGTTTGTTTTTTGTTACTGAGGAAATCAAAGCTGAATTTCCCTCCAGCATCTAACTGAGTAGAAAAGCAGGATATGCATTTCACAGTTGCCCCAAACTCATGTCTGAATTGACACATATTTCCATTCTTGTATAGATCCTGCTACTCTGTGCACATCACCAATGGAAATGCAACAGTTTCCGTTGTGAACTATAAATAATCTAGAGTCTGCTTCAGCATGTAACATTAGGTGCTTGCTAAAAGACAGAATTCAGACTGACTTCAGTAGGAACAGGAGAGGACTCTAAAACATTGTAACCTCTTTTTCATTAAGAGGGTCTTACATTTTAATACACTAAATATTAGAGAAAAATTAAGCAATTTTAATGTGGCTGTATTGAAATAATCCAATATTAAAAATACTAACATATTTTACGAATCCATACCAGATTTCCCTATGGATTCTAATAATGGCAACTGTAGAGGCTCCGGCAATGGTGAGTACATTTTTATATATATAACTGTTTAATAAGTTATCTTCTTTCAGATTCTTTTAACATTTAAATAAGACCAGTACTTAATGATGTATAGACTCCGCTGTTTCAATTTTTTGTACACTGTGTATTTGCTATGAGAGTTACATGTTCAATAAGACATTCAGGGAGGTTGAAAGTTGGATTTAGGTGGTGGGTAAGCCTCTCTGCACAGGTGTGAATTTCACTTTTAGTACTTTTCTAGGGCCTGATTCTGCTGTTTTTATCCAGGCAAAACTTCCTTCAAGTCAAAAGGACTTTACTGATTTCAGGGGAGCTCTTGTCTGTTAGGATTCATCCCCTATTGTGCTTTCCACTTTCATTTTGTTATTCCATACTATAGAAATATGATTTGGTTTGCTGCTCTGGAAGTCATCTTCCTTCTAATTATTTTTTCACACAAGCTGGAAATTCATTGTGCAGAAGAACGTTTATTCAGCCCAGTAATTCAAAGTAACAGGTGAATCACATATTACATTACAGCATGCTAACGCAATGGACAACACTTCTCTTTACATTTTAGCATTGGAAAGAAAAATCAACAGTGCCACATATGTTAGTGTGCATTGTTCAGCATGCAAATCCCTCATGAATCAGATTCCTTACAAGTTACTCTGATACTTCTTTGTATAATGTAGGGTCCATTTACTACTGTGACCATTTTTATGTTGGCGGACCTCTATTAATTTACTGGAGTGAAACAGTGGTGAATCAGGCCCGTGTATATAGCACTCTCTTGAAATGGCAGCAGTCTCTCTTTTCAGACCTTTAAACTGTAAAGCAAAATGATAGAATTTTTTTGTAGAGTATATAAAGCATGTACCTGAGTAAACTGTTGTTTGCATTAGTCATGGGTACATGGAGGTCAGACTAGATGATCATGATGGTCCCTTCTGACATTAGAATCCATGAGTCTATGTTAGTTGTAAGGAAAACAGGAAATGAAGCTGTAAAAATAGTGTAGCCTTTAATTTTTTCCTTTGCTTCAGAAATTTCTAGAGTTGTAGCAAAGATCTAAAAATAAGTTGTTCTTGTTGTTTTAATGTATCTTATATTATTAAGTGATTTATTCATTTCAGTCAAATGGAGTTAATCTTAAGTAGCCTGTTTGGGCTTTGTTAAGAAAGGAAAGGAAAATTTGTTTTGTTTTACTTTACAGCAAAATACATTACAAATTGCTGCAAATAATATTCCTGTGTAATTTTCTTCTATTAAGTTTAATTAAATCTACCAGCAACCACCATTTCTGACATCACTCTGGAGGTCAAATGAGCTGATCGTAACGGTCCCTTCTGGCCTTAAAACCTCTTGGTGAAATATTGACCCCACTGAAGTCAAGAGAAAACCTCCCATTGATTTCAATAAGATCAGGATTTCACACTATGAATCCATGAATTTTCACTCCGCTGAGCCTCTCATTGTCTTGTTTGTGTGTCAGAACTGATCCCTTCGAGTTGACCGCTATTCTTAGGTAATAAAAGAAAAAAGAAAATTGAATTGCCCCATATGGATAGATATGATATCTAAGTATTGCCTGAGAATTAGAGCTGGGAAATGGCAATCAGAGCTCCTGGATTCTATTACCATTTGTGCCAATAACTTGTTATTGGCTGCTGGTCAAATCACATGGGTCAAAAGGTTCAGACTTGGGTACCTAAAGTTAGGCATCTAAATCCACATTTAAGTTACTAACTGCATTTTTGTAAGAGGTGCTATATAACCACAATTCTCAGTGATAATCAGGCTGCTTTAAGCACCTAAATCTGGATTTAAGTGAATAACTGTAGGTGCCCAAATGTAAATATTTTTTCACTTAACTCTAAACCAAGCAAAAATGATCTTTGCATAGTCTAAATGAAGTTCTGCGCTTAACAATTACTGTTAAAAGAACATAATAGGATGCATGTTTGTTGTCTTTCACTGATTTTCATACCAGCTTATCAGTTTATAAGTAAAAAGATTGTTTTAAAATAATGAGTCTTGCAAACTTGTGGGATCTGAAGGTCAAGCTGTCTACTTTCCTTGTCATGTTGCACCATCAGTAATGAAATATTTTGCTGGCCAAAAATTGCTTCAGTGCCAATCCCATTGTCTTCATTGTGGTCACCCAGACTTAACTGCTTGGAATTTAAACAGTTTATTTTTTCTTGCCACATCACAACAAGAGTCCAGCTTAAATTATTTTAGCTGTGTTGGCTCTGTTAGACTAATAGGAGTGAAAAGCAGTAAAAATATATATTACTAAAGAAAGCAGATATGATTGTGAAAACACCCAGGGAGCAGCTCTGAAGAATAAGCTGAATATTTTTACAGACACTTTTTTAGTGTAGAATCACATTTTGAGTCTCAATATAGCACATTTTTTTCAATTGACAAACACAATTTAATCCCACCAGAAAGGAGCATTATTTTTTAATATATGTTTTGTTTATATGTTCAGTAAAACAGCCATTGTCCTTTTTCCATTGTAAATAGACCCTTTGTAAGTAGTATTACAATGAAGTGTGTTAAAAAATTCAGGGCTGGACATGCTGTATGATTTCTAAAGGATACTGCAAATAGTTGTGTGTATTGTTGCCTGTAAGTAATGTCAGTGTGTTAAATCTACTCAAAGCAGCTCTTATCCCTGGCAAAGTCAGTTGGCAAAGTCTTGCCTCCAACTCTGCATATAAATAATTTTTTTCCTTCCTTGGCGAGAAACTACATTCTTGTCTATTTCATAAGATGCTCTTAAAGTTGCTTAGAAGTTTCTCCAGATTTTATTATTATTTCAGTGAAACATTTGCCAGCTTTGAGTACTTATATTGATCAGTAACACAACCAGGTTTTATGGGAGCAACATATTTTATATATTTTTAAGAGCCCCTATATATTTGTAGAGGAACATTTTCAAAGGCGCACATGGCACATAGGCCCCTAACTCCCACTGACTTCTTTCTTAAAAATTGAATGTTTCATTGCATTCCCAGTGGAGTTAGGGGTCTAGCTGCCATTTGGTTCCCAGTGCTCTAGGTGTTAGAAGGAAGGTAGGCAGCGGCCCCGTCAGTAGCTCTAGCAGCTCCAGAGTAGAATGGCTAGGTAGTGTGTGGGCAGGGTCATGTCCCATATTCCTGCACAACAAGATGGCTGGGCCAGGGGGATAATTATCTACATTGGCCAAACTGGACAGTCTCTACATAAAAGAATAAATGGACACAAATCAGACGTCAAGAATTATAACATTCAGAAACCAGTCAGAGAAGACTTCAATCTCTCTGGTCACTTGATTACAGACCTAAAAGTGGCAATTCTTCAACAAAAAAACTTCAAAACCAGACTCCAACGAGAGACTGCTGAATTGGAATTAATTTGCAAACTGGACACCATTAACTTAAGCTTGAATAAAGACTGAGAGTGGATGTGTCATTACACAAAGTAAAACTGTTTCCCCATGTTTATTTCCCCCCCTACTGTTCCTCACACGTTCTTGTCAACTGCTGGAAATGGCCCACCTTGATTATCACTACAAAAGGTTTTGGGTTCTTTTTCCCCCCTCTCTCCTGCTGGTAATAGCTCCTCACCTTACCTGATCCTTCTCATTACAGTGTGTATGGTAACATCCATTGTTTCATGTTCTCTGTGTATATAAAATCTCCCTACGGTATTTTCCACTGCATGCATCCGATGAAGTGAGCTGTAGCTCACGAAAGCTTATGCTCAGATAAATTGGTTACTCTCTGAGGTGCCACAAGTCCTCCTTTTCTTTTTGCGGATACAGACTAACCCGGCTGCTACTCTGAAACCTATCTTTTCCAGTTACACATGTGTAGAAAGGGGTGTTTCCCTCCGTGATCTCCTAGAATCTAAGAGACATTATGCCTTTCAATAGCATCATTCTATTAAGTTCTCCTCCGGGGTTTGTGCGTGTATGTATATGCATGCCTTTGACTGTTCCTCACATAGGTTCATCCCTGCAAGAGACATCCAATCAATCAATCAAGTCTTTTTGTGTATACACACACACACACACAGAGAAAGTGCTGATAAGTGTTATTAGATAGTATCATTCAGTGGGATCAGGGAGAAGCCCATTGATTATATTCTAGGACAATTACAGTAAAATATTTTCCTTGGATTAAAGCAGTTTCTGAGATTTATTGTTTTAGGAGTGTTAACCCATAGGTAACATTGCTGTCAATTTCAATCATTTTGTGTTTTGCTAGTGTGGTGGAATAAAGTTCTGCAGAGAAGGGGAATTTTAAGGGATTGACATTGTGTGTTGTTAAGGTAACTCTCCTGGATACAGGTCTGACTCTGTTTGAATTTGAAATGTGAAACTAACATGAGTAAGGGTTACAGAACTGGCCCCTTTATGAGCACCTGTTTTGAGGCAGTTTACAAAATGAGCCGTAATTTGGCCTAAATGTACATGAATTCATATAGGCTTAATGAAAGACAAAAATTACTTCCCTTTTCTGCCTTATTATTTTAAAACAGTCACATAGAAAAGCTCAACTCTGTAGCATATTTTTCTCTCTTTCTCTCCATATAGATAGATAGATAGATAGATTTCTGAGAATGTATTTTGAAATTCAAGAGAAACATTATTCTCTTCCTTTGAAATGTACTTTTTTCCTGTATACACTGTTTTCTCTTTTTAACTATAAGGATACATTGAAGCCAAAGTAAATGATAAACTGAGAACCCCAATAAATAACACAATAACTTCCTAATTTTTTCAAAGCACAAAAATACAAGTTTATTTTTTTGAACTGTTCTTTTCAGATTATACTGAAATATCTGAAATGGGCACTGTTTTAGATCTTCAGTTTATATAAATCAGCTGTGTTGGGTTTCACTGTTTTTAATATTGAAGCATGCATACCTGACTTGGGAGGCAGTGTCAGATGTTTAAAGCATGAGTGTGAGAGTCAAGGCACCTGGGTTCTGTTCCTAATTTGACCACTAATCTGTTCTGAATTATATGCTGCTTCAGCTAGAACAGCAAAACAGATCACTAACAGGATATGCCTATTTCTGGAACATGATGTTTCTAGTAAGAGTACTGATGCAATTGTTACTTTGTAGGATGTTCTTTATGTATTTCTGAATAGAAGTAGAATGCTGTGTGCTTAGCAAACATAATGGGGGAAATGCTCTATTGGGCACAGCAGAGAAGAGGCTGGATGGGGGGTCCCAGCAGGGAGCTGGCTCTGAGTATGGCTCTAGACAGTACTGTAATTTGTGGGGAAGGGTTAAATTTCTCTCACTTACCCCAGCAAATGCCAACTGTAATCAGCTGTTCCACTCTACCAAGTCTCAATAACTTCCATTACATCCAAAATAATGAAGTAGCTTGATTTTTTTCTGTTAAAATGATCAGTAGTTACCTCTTCGGATAGCAACATTATGAGTAAAGGCTCCAGACTGAGTTAGCAATTTATTTGACATGAATGAAGTGTACCCACTTGTATTATTGTTTTTCCAGCTGTCTGCAACCTCATGCAGACACCGCTACATGGGTTTATATTTTGAATTATCTTTGCAACTGGAAGGGCTAGTAACCTCACTGTGTTAATGAAAGCTTAGATTCTAGAGCACAGTTGTGTAGAAAATTCAGATAGAAGGGCAATTATGTGGCCACATATTCATTATTGTTTACAGGGTTCTGCATATTCTCTATGAGCTGAATGATACCGTCTTCTATGCTGGTTATCTAGAGAGGGGAGTGATTACAAAGAGCCCTTCCCCAGGGTTCTTGCCAAAAAAAATTGTCTCCTCACATCTCCCATCCCAAGCCCATGAACAGTTATTTCAGTTATAGTTAGCACTCCACGATTATTTATTATAATTCATGCAATTTTCAAGTGTTAATTTACTTACAAGAGTCTTTGTTTATTCTTTCCCTGAATGAAGTAGAAACATAGGACTCTCACAAAAGTCAGTGTCAAAAACTCATATTAGGTATCATGACCATATTGAGACAATTAAAATACAGATTATAAATGGAAGAGTATCCAAACAAAGCTGATTACCTTGTTCATACCAATATTTATAGTATATACATACAAAATGTTATGTCTGTCTGATCCATATGAGTAAGATTTGCTGGATCAGCACCTTAATTTGCTCTTTGTTTTGCCTTTCTGGCGTGGGATGGCCAGGGAGATTGATTATATTTTAGCCATATATTTCTTTAGGGCACCTATTGAGAGGATTCTTTTTAGTACATGTTAGAATAAAAAGATCAAATGCAAAAATTTCAGTGATTAGAATTGTCTGAGCACTAGTCAAAATCTCCGGCTGGATCCTAGTTCAGTCCTTTGTAGAGTGTGTAGGCCAGTGAGTGGGCAGACGTGTCAACTAAGGAAGGTAAAATAAAGCCCAATTGATAGTTCAGTCCAAGGTCATTTCTTCAGTGCTGGCTTTATTAATTTAAAGGAGATTCCAAACCAGGATTAACATAATACAAGACACTTGCAACATCCAGACAAGACCTTTCAGCAAGATGGTAGGTGAGAAGACTGACTATTCCCCTGGGTAGCCTTCCTGGATATCTTCTAGGCCTCATCTCATATGGCCACAGAACCAACCTTCACAAGACGGTGCCAGAAGCATTCCTTTACACAGTAGCCACTAGAAAGTCACATGACACTAAGTCACCTGACATTTCTTAATCATGTGCCTGGTCTGGAGATTACAAATCCCATCAGCCCCTGGGTTTAAAGCTGTAATGTCCCTGTAACAAATGTGCTTGTGTTTTCACGCTGTAGAGCTGCCATAGGGAGTCTACAGCCTGCCCTCAGTTTTGCTGGTGCAGTTATTCTGGGTTTGATGTAGTATAACTGAAAACAGAATTTATTCTGTGATTGATAGCTGGTTGGGAATTTTCCATCAAAATGATTTCTTGAGGGGAAATGCAGTTTCTGCAAAAGTTTTCAGTTTTCTGTTGAGCAAATCAAAATGAAATATCTTATTTGAGTTGGTTTGTTGAACTGGCTGAAATGTATAGTTTCAAGTCAGTTCAACATTAAATTGCATTTCCCTAGTGTGGTGCATTCCCTAGTGTAGTTCCAGCCCCCATTCTCTTCTATGGGCTAGGCTCCCTCACTAGACATCATCTCCCATGATGCAATACAGTCTTCTCTCTGACTGGCGCATCATGGAAGTCCCATGATTGCAGATGCATCATGGGAGATGTAGTTTGGCCAGGGAGTCTGGCCCATAGGGGAGAATGTGGTCATCTGACTCCTGAACTACAGTTTCCATGAGGCAATGTGCCACAATAGGAAAATACTGTTTAACATTGAACAGGCTCAGAACAAAACATTTTGCCATTTCCAATTTTTTAGATATTTTCTTTCCTAAGAGTGTTGCTATTTCAACTATTTGTTCAGATTTGGGATGAAAACAAACATTAAAACATCAGAATTTCCTGCAGGACACACTGACCTTTTTATAAATATCCTCAAATCAGCAATGGGATGCTCAGTTTCACTATGTTTTTGTGCAGAGGAGTTTAATAATACCCCCTATGTTTTTAACAGAACCTGAATATATAAATACATTATTTTTTGCCATCTGATTGCTATCAATCTCTGTTTCAGTGTTTTTAAAGGCAATTTTGGGGGGATGGGAGAGTTTGTCTTTGAGTCAATGCCTTGTTCTTCTAAAGCAAAGGTTTTCTGTTTTGCAGAGCGTTGCAAATGCAAGCCTATTAAAGCTACCCAGAAGACCTATCTTCGGAACAATTATAACTATGGTAAGGACAGCTGCATGGCTAGATATCAAACCTTTAAAGGAATACATTAAGTTTTTCCAGGAACTCTAAATTTAGTAATGTGACAGGAAAAAAATTCCACAATAATGGGCTATGGCCTAAGCATGTAATCAGTTCATGCTCATTTGCACTAGGAAAGCTGGTCAGATTGATTGATTGTTTTGAGTTCATTCATTAGCAGTAACTACAAAAAGACAACATGAAGTAAAAAAAATTTCTAAGTTCAAAACTTGATTCACTCATGGAAGGATGAGGCAAGGGTGGGTTAGTATTTTAATAGGACATCATAATATTTGTAGCTTTTGAGATTAAAATGTTCTGTGAACAGTTTTTTTTAAACAATATTTAAACATTAACATGCAAGCCCAGTGTGTTTCATTGTATAATGTTGCTGTTTTTCACTCTAAATCCCAGTTGGTATGAGATGTGCCACTTCATTGGCTCCAGGAGAATACTAGGTGTTTATGCATTGAAAAGTGTTTTTAGTCTTAAAAGTGATGGGATAAAAATGACATTGTGGGATTCTATCTTTGATCTATCTCTGATTTCTAGCTCAAACTTGCTCAGTTTACAAACAAAAAGATGTTTTTACTATCAACCCCGCAAACTCATCCTGGGATCTGACACTGAAGTTAGATTCTTTCCTTCCCCTGCATCATTGCCAGTAATGAGGCTCCGTCAGGCCAAGTTATGCTGTCAGTAACACCTGTGCGACCCCCCTGATGTCCAAACTATGTCCTGAGCTGTCCAGATTTCCCTATTCTTCAGGCATCCCCTGGGTCCAGTTCTGCAGCCTTTATTCAGACAAATCTTTCTTACACAAATAAACCTGATGAAGTCAACAAGATTTCTTGCATAAGTAAGGATTACATATAGGAGTCAGAAATGCAGAATTGGGCCCTTGAGGTCTTAACATGTTGACCTGCAACCCCTTACTCATGGGAGTAGCTACTATTAGTTTCACTGAATTCATGAAAAAGGGTTTACATGACCAGGACATAGTGAAGACAATTTTATTGTTAAACCAAGCTTTTTAAGTACATATGTATACAAATGGTATCCACTAAGTCTGTAATAAAATAAATCCTACTAAATGATATTAATAACTCTCATATTCAGTGAAAAGCAGCAAGGTTATGATTTTCTGACTCATTTAGCTGTTTTATATGTAGGGGTGGTTGTGGTGTGAGTATTCTCCAGTGGATTATGGCAGAGATTCACTGCTCGTGCTACAGCCATAAACTCATAGATATTAAGGTCAGAAGGGACCATTATGGTCATCTAGTCCGACCTTCTGCACAACGCAGGCCACAGAATCTCACCCACCCACTCCTGCAATAAACTTCTCACCTATGTCTGAGCTATTGAAGTCCCCAAATCATGGTTTAAAGACTTCAAGGTGCAGACAGTCCTCCAGCAAGTGACCCGTGCCCCATGCTGCAGAGGAAGGCGAAACCCCCCCAGGGCCTCTTCCAATCTGCCCTGGAGGAAAATTCCTTCCCGACCCCAAATATGGCAACCAGCTGAACCCTGAGCATGTGGGCAAGATCAAGATTCACCAGCCAGATACCCAGGAAAGAATTCTCTGTAGTAACTCAGATCCCACCCCATGTAACATCCCATCACAGGCCATTGGACCTATTTACCGTGAATAGTTAAAGATCAATTAATTGCCAAAAGCATGTTATCTCATCATACCATCTCCTCCATAAATATATCGAGTTTAATCTTGAAGCCAGATAGGTCTTTTGCCCCCACTGCTTCCCTTGGAAGGCTATTCCAGAACTTCACTCCTCTGATAGTTAAAAATCTTCGTCTAATTTCAAGTCTAAACTTCCTGATGGTCAGTTTATATCCATTTGTTCTTGTGTCCACATTGGTACTGAGCTGCAATAATTCCTCTCTCCCCCTGGTATTTATCCCTCTGATATATTTATAGAGAGCAATCCTATCTCCCCTCTTCTTTTGGTTAGGCTAAACAAGCTTGGGGGAATTTTGGAGAGAATTAAGATGACTTACCACAGGCTCTCTTTATATTCTGTTATACCATTCCTCTCTTTCTTTAGAACGTAAAGACCTCTGGGAACACATTAGAAAGAGTGCCAAAGCAAAGTAGGTTTTTGTGGGAAAGTCTTAAGAGGTTTTAAGAAAGTGGATTAGTTTGGGTAAAATTTTTATTCTGTATAAAACCTGTGAGCTGTTGAACAGTTGTGTTTAACTTAGCTGAGACAATGCTGAGCATGGCTGTGGGTGGAAAAGTGTGTGTGTGTGGGGGGGAGTGGGGATGGATTAATGGATTTTCTCTTTTTCATTACATCTCTTCCATTTTTCCTTTTTTTTCTTTGCACTAGTTATAAGAGATTAAGAATCTGAGGAATTTGGATGTAAAATGGAGGAAGAATCTATGATTTGAAAACAGTGCAAGATGTAGTACTCCCTTGAATATGACCTCTGGATTTGCATGCGGTGTCAGCTCATTGGTCACCATGAGAGACCTGAAAAAATTGCTGCCCTTGGAAGGCAACTTTCCCTAGTATGCAGTTCATGGGAGAATAATAGGATCAGAGAAGAAACAATTAGACAGGTCATCAGGTCAAGATCAGGAGCATTGGAGTTCATGGAAAACAGAGCAGATTGGTGCTGGGTCACTGGAGGAAGAAGAGAAAAGGGAAGGCCCTGTCATCCAATAGGGATAATGATACAATAAAGCTTTCAAGTATATTTTCCATTTTGTGAAAGGCTGTGGATGACAAATTAAGAGTCTGTACTGGACCTAAATAAGATGTATGAGCGAGGAGGAAATAATAGGAAATATGAACTACATGTTTAAAACACAGAGGGAATAAAAGAAAAAAACTAAAAAAAAATATATCCCAGAGAAAGTAAGGTGAAAGGCCCATTGATAAATTATTCCCTGCACAGAGCACCTACATTGCTATTATATATCTTGCCTACTTGAAATGTACATGTTACTCTTGGTAGAAGAGAAAGTGAAGAAATAGGGGGAAGAAGGGAATCTCTGGGCAAAATCTAGATGGAGTTCAGTTGAGCTTTTGATAAAGGAGCACACAAAAGACTAATCCCCCAGCTCACAAAGGATGGCATGGGGGTGACCTACATTATTTGCTGCTGTTAACTATACTCTGTACTTTTCCCCCAGTCATTCGGGCTAAAGTGAAGGAGGTGAAGACTAAATGTCATGATGTCACCGCAGTAGTTGAAGTAAAGGAGATACTAAAGTCTTCCTTGGTGAATATTCCTAAGGACACTGTTAACCTTTACACAAACTCTGGCTGTCTATGCCCACCGCTCAATGCCAATGAAGAATACATTATAATGGGCTATGAAGATGAGGAACGCTCCAGGTAATTTATTCTTTAGTGTCCTTTAGAGAATTACTTTCCCTGCTCTATTCGCCCACCACCTCATTTTGAAGCCACCATTGTTCCCGCTGAAGAAAATTGGGCAGAATTTTCTTCAGAACTCGTGAGCAATGCTTTTGACTTTTGGACTTGTCACTACTGAATGCCATGAGGTTCTCTCTCTCTCTCTCTCCCCTTGAGCAGATCCCATTAGCGTTGTGTATATTGCTACGTACAGCATACACATTCCTTGATAATAAAATAACTGGCTTATCTGAAATGTGTAGGTTACTCTTGGTAGAAGGCTCCATAGCTGAGAAATGGAAGGATCGTCTTGGTAAAAAAGTAAAGGTAAGACAATGTTTCACAATCTTAGTAACAATTAACATTGAAAACTGTTTGTATCTCACCTTTAAGAAAAAAAGAGAGGAAATCATAGAATATCAGGGTTGGAAGGGACCTCAGGAGGTCATCTAGTCCAACCCACTGCTCAAAGCAGGACCAATCCCCAATTAAATCATCCCAGCCAGGGCTTTGTCAAGCCTGACCTTAAAAACTTCTAAGAAAGGAGATTCTACCACCTCCCTAGGTAACGCATTCCAGGGTTTCACCACCCTACTAGTGAAAAAGTTTTTCCTAATATCCAACCTAAACCTCCCCCACTGCAACTTGAGACCATTACTCCTTGTCCTGTCCTCTTCTACCACTGAGAATAGTCTAGAACCATCCTCTCTGGAACCACCTCTCAGGTAATTGAAAGCAGCTATCAAATCCCCCCTCATTCTTCTCTTCTGCAGACTAAACAATCCCAGTTCCCTCACCCTCTCCTCATAAGTCATGTGTTCCAGACCCCTAATCATTTTTGTTGCCCTTCGCTGGACTCTCTCCAATTTATCCACATCCTTGTAGTGCGGGGCCCAAAACTGGACACAGTACTCCAGATGAGGCCTCACCAATGTCGAATAGAGGGAGATGATCACGTCCCTCGATCTGCTCGCTATGCCCCTACTTATACATCCCAAAATGCCATTGGCCTTCTTGGCAACAAGGGCACACTGCTGACTCATATCAAGCTTCTCGTCCACTGTCACCCCTAGGTCCTTTTCCACAGAACTGCTGCCTAGCCATTCGGTCCCTAGTCTGTAGCTGTGCATTGGGTTCTTCCATCCTAAGTGCAGGACCCTGCACTTATCCTTATTGAACCTCATCAGATTTCTTTTGGCCCAATCCTCCAATTTGTCTAGGTCCCTCTGTATCCTATCCCTGCCCTCCAGCATATCTACCACTCCTCCCAGTTTAGTGTCATCCGCAAATTTGCTGAGAGTGCAATCCACACCATCCTCCAGATCATTTATGAAGATATTGAACAAAACCGGCCCCAGGACCGACCCCTGGGGCACTCCACTTGACACCGGCTGCCAACTAGACATGGAGCCATTGATCACTACCCGTTGAGCCTGACAATCTAGCCAACTTTCTACTCACCTTATAGCGCATTCATCCAGCCCATACTTCTTTAACTTGCTGACAAGAATACTGTGGGAGACCGTGTCAAAAGCTTTGCTAAAGTCAAGAAACAACACATCCACTGCTTTCCCTTCATCCACAGAACCAGTAATCTCATCATAGAAGGCGATTAGATTAGTCAGGCATGACCTTCCCTTGGTGAATCCATGCTGACTGTTCCTGATCACTTTCCTCTCATGTAAGTGCTTCAGGATTGATTCTTTGAGGACCTGCTGCATGATTTTTCCGGGGACTAAGGTGAGGCTGACTGGCCTGTAGTTCCCAGGATCCTCCTCCTTCCCTTTTTTAAAGATTGGCACTACATTAGCCTTTTTCCAGTCATCCGGGACTTCCCCCATTCACCACGAGTTTTCAAAGATAATGGCCAATGGCTCTGCAATCACAGCCACCAATTCCTTTAGCACTCTCGGATGCAACTTGTCCGGCCCCATGGACTTGTGCACGTCCAGCTTTTCTAAATAGTCCCTAACCACTCTTTCTCCACAGAGAGCTGGCCATCTATTCCCATATAAATATATGAGGCCCAATTCTCACCCATGAAAGTTAACGTGTCAGATTCTGATTCCATTACACAAGGGTAAATCTGGAGTAACATAACTGAAATCAGTGGAGTTAATCCAGATTTATACAAGTTTAGCAGCGATTAAAACCTGAATCATTTATTTCAATCAGCAGGAGCTGGATTAAGCTCTACAGCCAAATTCTGCATTTAGGTGCATACATGCAGCTTTTATTCAGTTTAGTGGGAACCGTCTACACACAGTCAAGGGCAGAACGTGGTTTCACAAGCCTTATTATCTCATTTACAAACTTGTGCATCTCAAATTTTAAATGTTTAAATACAGTTCTCATCTAAGTTGTGCAGACTTGGTCTCGCTCTGAGACTTAGCTCTTCATCTAAAGGAAACATTTGACATATGCGAGGGAGGAATACAAGTACAGGAGTTCCTATCTGAAAGAAAATAGAGAAGTAGGGAGGAAGTGGAGCAGACACAAAAAGGATATATGTTCCACCCTAATATCTTGTAATTCCTGGAATGATTGATTGGGTAAGCTAGACAGCCACACAGCCTTTGGCACCTAAGCTTTATTTTACGTATCTGACACCCTCAAATGGTTTTAGTGACCTTGGCAGCATTACAAAGAACATCATTTTACATGGAAAGCATTTATTTTAAAAACAATTTCTCCAACGTGTTGATTTGACATAAATAAGGTTCCCCACATCTTTTTGCATGTGTTGTCCGTCTCTTTCCCCTCATTTTCTTCAAGTTTTAGTGATCACTGCAGAGAAAATCCTTTTTTTTTTTATACAAATTGAAATTCTTCTATGTCTAGTTGTTATCCATATTCTTTTATTAGACTGGGTGACCTATCTTATCTGGTAGAACCTCCTCAATGCCAGTGCCATGGAACATGTGATAATTCATGTTGTTCTCTGGTACCACTTTAGTTCTGGTTTCCTGCTACTAGTGTAACTTCAGTTACCGGCAACTGTTACAGCCCTGGTATTTCACTACCATTTATTACACCATCTATTACACACAGTTCCTTCGTGCCAGCTCTGCTCTATGAATCACTTGACTGTTTTTCTATCCTGGTTTTCTAAAAAGGACCACAGGTGCCTTTACTTACATTTAAAATAAATAAATGAATTAAATTAAATAAAGCGTAAGCCACGTTTCTGCTTGTCATTGTAGCATGGTGTCTGATCATTCATTTTCATGGTGTTAATATGATCTCTTAGGCAGCCAACAGTTCTTGCTTAAAAGGGCACTGTCAAGTTGTTAAAAACAAAACAACCAAAAACGTACTAGTTCAATAAACCCTTAAGAACTGAAAAAGATCCTTACTTATGTTTCTAGTAACACCTGAGGACAATAACCACGCAAATAAATTACATGCATAATTTTGTTCTTGGCAGGGCTTTGAGTTTGATGAAGCTGGTTGCATAAGTAAAGATAGGCTATTAAAATCTAATGTGCTTTTCACAGTGGTGTTTGATTACTACTTGTATTTCTTTCAGCTTTGACATGGACACAGTTTTAGTATTGTCTATAGTCACTTTCTGATTCTCAGCACTGCAGTGGTTGGGTTGCAAGCATGCGGAGGGGAACGTTTAGTTCTAATCTTGCGGAGAGGGCGCAACCAAGCCTGTTTTCATTGAAAGAAAAATGCATTAACATTTTAAATAATTCATTTTGGTAAAATAACTTTTTTCAAAGTCTGTGTTTTGACCATCATCTACCCTGGCATTCATAACTTAGGTCTGTGTGTGTAATGTCACTCATCCCCCGACTGTGTAAATAACATGCTATGCATTTGAAGGCATGATCCCGTGAGGTGCTGAGTGCCCTCAACTTCCAACTATTTCACTGAGAGTTGAGAGGGCTCAACACCTCTTAGGATTGGATCCTCATCCTCCAGGCTTAGTCGTGTAGGTTGACTACTGCCTCCACACAGAACCCTGCTGAAGCAAACAGGGTTTGTGCAAATCTTGCAGAATCATGGCCTTAGTAAGTAGCTAGTGTTTGAGCCTCATACGGGCACATCCCTACCAAAAAACAGTTAAAGAAATAAAGGTTTAAGAAATATGGTCACTAGACCATGAGAACAAGGACCTGCTTTACCCTGTGATTTGTTACTGTAATATTTAGTTACACATTTAGATAGCCACATTCCTGTCACTATGCTCTGCACTCTGGGGCAGAACTCTTACTTCTGCTCATAATCTGTAAGTCACACATTCACGATTATTTTATAAAGTCTCTGGCATTTTCTCTTCTGGTGGGAGTAACAGCATCTTTTAGAAATATTGCTTTGCAGCATTTGAGTGTAATTTGCGAACTAGTTTTGTAAAAATATCTGCGTTTGAGGTATTTTGAAACACATACAGTTGTAGCTTTGTTAATTTTTTTCTTCCATTTATTAGTTTTGTTTGCTTACATTGTACAGCGCTGGGATCAGAAACTCCGTCACCCTGGAAAGGGCAGAAATGAGCCTGGACAAAGTGATTCTGCTCAAAAGCCTGGCAAGAACAGTAACCCCCGACAAACACGCAACTAAATGTGAAAAGCTATGTACAAATCAATGGACTCTATATTAAGACTTGCATTGTTGAAGCAGCAAGGGAGAAATTGCACTATTGCACGTTATATTATATTGTTTACTAAAAAAATCATGTTGTAGCTAATTAGTTATTTTCCCTCATTTTCTGCCTTTTAAGGGGGGTGTAAACCCTAAAAAATTATATTTTATCTCAGTAATAACTGCAGAAAACTGCCCTTATGAGATAAAAATAGGAGGACATTTACTGAAGTTAAGAGATATTGGTGGTTTTATCAGTGGGGCCATGTTGCTTAGAGAAAGACTTCAACATAGGAATGGGATCTGGCCAGACCAGGACCTTTTAAAAAAAAAAAAAAAAAAAAAGTAGGGGTGGGACTTTAACCCAGCTTCTCTGCTCCTGTCCCTTTTTCTCACATGCTTGATCATGGCTGCAGTAACTGGGTTTTTTTAATGTAGAAGTTTTAGTCTGAAATATAATGGCCATATCTATACATAAGTTAAGAATTATATGGCACTTCTGGAAAGACACTGACTGAAGAGCAAAATAAATTGTTCGCAGTGTTAGCATCAGCAACGTGATAAGGGAAAATTTTGACTGATTGAAAACCAGTTTAAATATTTAGCTCTGCAATTATCTAACAAAAAATACCTAATCAGCATGAAGGAAGAAACTCATGTTAAAAGTTGTGTTCTAATCAGCACAACCCTTCAATTTGCTTACTCTTAAGTAAGCCACTGTATAAGTTTAAGTCTAACTTACATCTATCACAACAAAAACACATGGGATTTAAATGCTTTAATCCTTGTGGGAAACATTGTATAGTTCTGTTAACTCACAACATAATTTACGGTATACTTGCTCTCGTAATGGCAGTTCCTTCCCACCCTCCCCCACATCACGTAGGAGTAGACTGACTTACCAGGCCTGCTTCTCAGTATAGGTCTGCACTTTATCATTTTGATTTTGTGGTGTTATTCTTATTTCTGTGCCTACATAAACAGCAGTGTTTAATGCTCAGTAAAATATGTTTAATAAAAGAATGATAGTTGTCAGAGACCTTATCCTGACTTTTGCACCAAATGAACGTTTAAAATCCATGATTTGTTATTGTCCACAGTGTATGCCAGCGCAAAAAACAAACACCCACCCTTCATTTTCTTCCTTCAATAGAATTTTTCAGTCAGTGCCAACAATTTGAAATTATCATTTTTTTTAAAAGTATAATGATGTAAGTAGAATACCAAGCTTCTGAGCTCTGGTGTACAGAAAATAAAACACTTATGATGCAAACTGTTACTGCATTTTTAGTTGGAAGTACTGAATTTCTTTTCCCAGGACACCCATATACAGTATCTCGTGGTTGCTGTTCATCCACAGGAAACAACACCAGAGTTTACATAGTTAAACATTACTGAATTTAAATGCAAATAAAGCAGTGAAGATAGAAAATATTTCGAAAGTGTTCATAATAATTTAATGTTTTCATTAATAACCAAAGGTCAAGCTCAGAGCGCCATTGTGCTAGATACCGTGCAAACATAGATTTTGTATCTTTTAAATGAAATGCAACAGTGCAGATGGGGACTGGATGTCACAGGAGATTAGCAATGGGATGCAAATAGAGCTGGGCAGGAAACAGTTGTGTCATCCCTTGAATATTTGGCTAAAATTAGGACAAAGTGGAAATCTCAAAATATCTAGGAGATGGGGGGGGGGGGAAGCTTCCCTTTGGGTCTATATGTTGATTTCAATCTTTATCTTCCTTTTTTAGGTTAATTAGCATATATTTCAAAGTGAAAAATCCATTTGAATTGGAAAACTAGAATTTTCCATTTTGAAATTGTCAAAATGAAATGTTTACATAACTTCAAAGCTCCCCCCCAATTTATTTATTTTTTTGATGAGTTGAGATTAGTTAAGTCTGAAGCGGAGCAGTTTTGGTTTTAACCAGTTAGCATTTTTCAATGGCAACATTGTCAAAAATGTCCTGACTACAATTCTAGATATAGAGCCTTATGTGTCAAGATAGCAGATTTCAGTACTAGTAGAGTTGGTTTAAAAATGCCTCCCCTCCCTCCAGAGTTTGTGTTTGGGTGGAAATTTGAATACCAAAACATTTCTGCTGAAAATCAGAATATTTCAATTTTTCACTAGCCACGCTAGTGCCTCTTGGGAGTTGTAGTTTAGTTGATGCTCCCTTCCTCCTTTATAGCTTGGTCTCTCTTGCTGGTGCAATATAGGAGAATTAAATCCAGCCCATAGAAGAATAGGGGGACATGAGACAACCGACTACAGCTCTCATGAGGCACTGTGGCAGTATTTCCAAATCAAAATATTTTGGTTTTCAGGAAAAATGTAAATATTCCTTGGAAAGCAGACACTTTTAATGAAAAAATTGTTTAGTCAAAGTTTAGAAGGAAAATGTTCAACCAGCCCTACTATTATGCAATGGCTGTTCAGTGGACTTCATGGAATGAGCATAGAGGTGTGGGGTGACTTCTCACATATGGCATGGAAATCCCTGCACTCTGCCTCTGTATCCTCAGAACTCCATTGCCACAATAAAAGTGGCATTTTGATTTGCTTGGTTTCTTCCCTTTACATACCCCTTCTTGCCCTCCCCATTCCTTCATTCTGAAGGAGGCCAAAGCCACCTCTTTCAAGAGTAATCATGGGGTTGTAGGACTGGAAGGGACCTTGATAGGTCATCTAGTTTAGTCCCATGCACTGAGGCAGGACTAAGTATTATCTAGACTCTCATGAGTGCCTCCTGTCAGCTTGATGAGATGCTGCAATCTTTTCTTGTGGCACCCCCTACAGGTTGTCAACCTCATTAGGCAGGTCTTCAGTGGCTCAGCTCTTTGGCCAAGTCACTCAGTTCTGTGGTTCTCAACCATGTGTAGCCTAGGGGTATGCAGAGTTCTTCCGGGGGTACATCAACACATCTAGATATTTGCCTAGTTTTACAACAGGCTACATAAAAAGCACTAGCAAAGTCAGTACAAACTGAAATTTCATAGACAAGGACTTGTTTATACTGCTCACACTGAAATGTAAGTACAATATTTATATTCCAATTGATATTTTATAATTATATGGTAAAAATGAAAGTAAGCAAGTGATGGGTAATACTGTGTTGTGACATTTTTGTATTTTTAGGTTGGATTTTGTCAGTTTAAGTTAGGTGAAACTTGGGGGTACACAAGACAAATCAAATTCTTGAAAGGGGTATAGTAGCTAGAGAGGTTGAGAACCACTGACTCAGTCAATATGGATGAACCCCTTCCAGGATATTCAAATCCAAAACCAAACATGAGTAAGAGTCTTCCAATCCCTGGCTCAAGCTGACTCATCCCCTCATTCCTGAGGGTACTTTCTCTCTTCAGCCCCGCTTTGGCTCCTTTAAATAAAGCCCTCTGCTCTAGCTTCTAAAGGAAACTTACCTTATCTCAGGGCATAGAAAACAGTCTTACCAGAACAGGCAGTCTGCACTCACCAGGGCCTTCAGCCCTGTCTCTGGGCCCCTGTCATGGGGTCACTCATCACACTGGCATCTCCTGCTGGGCGTTTTGGGAATTGGCTCCACCCCAGCAGGTGAGCTCTTGGGTGGTGGCTGCTCTCCCATCCTCGCCTCTGCCTGCAGACCTATTACGACTCTTTCCTCTTGGCATCTGCTTTGTGGCACAGCCCTCCCGCTGTGTCACCATCCGGTTCCCCCCTTCCGGTGGACTCCTCCAACAAGAGTCCGGCCACTCCTCTCAGTGGCTTGGCAGTCCCCAGCTGGGCCGCACCTTCAGTGGCTAGTGGGGGGGCCCCAGGCTGGCCCACCCACTACTCCGGGCCCCTGCAAACGGCAGCTGCCTGCTAGCTCACTATTGTTATTCCCTAAGCAACTTCCCCACAGCCTCAGTTCCTTCTGCTCCTGCCTCTGGCTCCAGCTCCTTTGCTCTCTTCCCAGGGCCTCAAGCCTGTATGTCCTGGCAGCCCGCCAGCAGCCCTCTAGGAAGCCAGTCTTCTCTGTAGCAGACTAACTCACGCTGGTCTGCAGTTTCCTTTTATATGGGCCAGCTGGACCCAAATTGGCTGGTCCAGCCGCTGCCCTAATTGGCTGTTTCCCCTGCAGCCACTCCTTTAGCTGCCTGCAGTTCAGCCTCCCTAGGCTGGTTTTAACGCTCTCAGGGCCAGTGCGGGGCAGGCACCCCGTCACAGCCCCTTTAAATGTAACCCATTTTCTTGGGGTTTTAAAACTAGCCATATCCCCTTTTCAGGGCTTAGGCCACTCCAGCAGTGGCTGGTGGGGGGACCCAAGCCCGCCCACCCACTATTCTGGGTCCCAACCTAGAGACCCTGTACACAGCAGCCACGTGCTACTTTCTTTACTTGACAGGTTTCAGAGTAACAGCCGTGTTAGTCTGTATTCACAAAAAGAAAAGGAGTACTTGTGGCACCTTAGAGACTAACCAATTTATTTGAGCTTGAGCTAGTGAGCTGTAGCTCACGAAAGCTCATGCTCAAATAAATTGGTTAGTCTCTAAGGTGCCACAAGTACTCCTTTTCTTTTTTCTTTACTTGGTTGCTGCTGCATTCCCTGGGCCTCTTCACGTCTGCCCATTACTGGCTTAGGGCTAGAGGGCTCAGGTCCTTTTGCCTCCAGGTTTAGCAAACAGAGCCCATCACACTCCCTTTGGCCAATACAGTGAACTCCTCAGCCCCTACAGCGCCTTTTTTCTGAGCCTGCTGAGCTCTGATTGGCTGCTTCTGTGCAGCCTCGGCTTGCCAACTGTCTAATCACACAAACCCAAACACCCCTGCCCTGTCTCTTCCCTGAGGCCCCAGCCCTGCCCTGCCCTTTCTCCGAGGCTCCGCCCCGCTCACTCCCTCCCCACCCCCTGGTCGCTTGCTCTCCCTCACCCACTTTCACCAACCAGGGGGTTGGGGTGTAGGAGGGGGTGGGGCTCTGGGGTGGGGCTGAGGGGTTCTGAGTGTGGGAGGGGGCTCTGGTCTGAGCCTGGGACAAGGGGGTTGGGGTGCAGGAGGGAGTGCAGGGTGCAAGCTCTGGGAGGGAGTTTGAGTGCAGGAGGGGGATCAGGGCTGGGGAATGGATTGGGGTACAGGAGGGGTGGGTTCTGGGAGGGGACTCAGGGCTGTGGCAGGGGATTGGGGAATGGGAGGGGTACAAGGAGCAGGCTCTGAGAGGGAGTTTGGGTGAAGGAGGGGGCGAGGGTCGTGGGCTTCAGCCGGGTGGCCTTTACTTTGGGTGGCTCCCGGTCGATGGCGCAGCAGGCCTGCCCTGGCCCTGCACTGCTCCCAGAAGGCCAGGGGTCTCCATGCACTGCCGCCACCTGCAGGCACCACCCCCATAACTCCCATTGGCTGCAGTTCCCGGCCAGTGGAAGCTGTGGAGTCAGTGCTTGGGGCGGGGACAGCACACGGAGACTGCCTCCCCATGGGCTGCAGGGATGTGCTGGCCACTTCTGGAAGCAACGCAGAGCAAGGACAGGCAGGGAACCTGCCTTAGACCCACTGTGCCACCAGATTTTTAGTGGACTAAAATCTCCCAGTTTGGCTTCAGTAGCTTCCAGGAGGTAGAGCCCGATTCTGGGAGACTCCTGGCGAAACCGGGAGGGTTGGCAACCCTAACAGCCTCTTGAGGCAGGCCTGGCTTCTTCCTGGGGAGAGGTGTGATAGAACCATGGGGCCTCAAAGGGCCTGGTATACCCCGTCACACCATCCCTGACAGGTGTTTGTCTAAACTGTTCTTAAAAAACCTCCAATGATGGAGATTCCATAACTCCCCCTCCCCCCATATGATTTGTTCCAGTGCTTAAGTTCATAACTGTAAGGGTAGTTTTTCCTAATGTCTAACCTAAATCCCCTTTGCTGCAATTTAAACCCACGAAGTCTTGTCCTGTCCTCAGTGGATGAGGAGAACAGTATATCACTCCTCTTTTATAAGAGCCTTTTATGTACTTAAAGACTATTATGTCCCCACTCAGTTGTCTCTTCTTCAGACTAAACAAACCTAATTTTTTCCATTTTTCCTTGTAGGTCATATTTTCTAGACCTTTAATTATTTTTGTGTTGCTCGCCTCTGGATTTTCTCCAATTTATCCCCATCTTTCCTAAAGCATGGTGCTCAGAACTGGACACAGTATTCCAGTTGAGGCCCTGTCATGCTGAGTAGTCAGCCAAATTTATTGTCAGTCAAATTATAATTGTTTGAAAATCTTCTCCCGCTATTCCAGCTGTGGTATGGTAGCTATGGTAGCTCTGTGGTAGAGGATAGAGACCCAGATTCAGCTTTTAAGTAATTTTAAATAGAGTAAAAATGTCTATGAAGAGGGGAAGAGCGAAGCGAAGGGGGTAGCTACTAAGAGTTCCATTTTGGGCAGGACTGGATCCAGGTTTTACCACCCAGCTTGTTGTATTCAATCCCTGCTTCTGGCCTGGG